CACAGGCCCCTTGTGCTAGTGGCTTCTGCAGCAAAGTTTCTGCACATGTGAAGCAAGAACAAGGCAGATTCTGCGCCTACCTTGCTAAGCAGCACGCTGGGAGTTGGGCTGGCCTGATGTGGTGATGTGCAGCCAGCCAAGTGCAAAGACTTRGCGTATTTACCTCTTCAAAGAAAGGTAAAAACAAAACCAAATGAAAGAAAAACCCCAAACTAAACAAAAATAATAAGAAGGAAAAAATAAGGAAAGAAATAGCCAGCACGCTTTCCTACAAGGGTTTTAATCATCTTCTGCATCAGTTGATTAAAAGAAAAAAGTGAGTCTCTCCCTCACTCAAGGTCTCATTTGCAAAAAAACCCTTTGATTAGCTCAGGATTGGAGATAGCCAGCAAACTAGGAAAAGGCCCGGGGCTCCATTCAGGACACCAAGGAACGAAGAGGAAAATATATGAGATCCTRAATATAAACAAGGCCTAAATGGCCGTGTCTGTAAGTTTATTAGGAAGAAGCAAAGAGCCCAGAGGGAATGAAAAAGGAGTGGCGAGGAGAGCCTGCTTTTTAAGTAAAGCTATATATTAGAGGTGGCAGTTGGAAAAACGTTAATGAAGCACAAAAGGATGAAGCTCAGCAGGAAAACTAGTAGAGGGAAGAAAAAGCAAACTGCAGAACAGGCAACACACAGGGCTGAGCAAATACCTTGTGCTGCTCGGATCGGTCCTGGACCCCCTTATGGTTTATAATTTCACTAAGGATACTGGAAGGTGTGCTGGAGAGGACACATCTAAGGCCCCCGGCTCTGGGTTTAATTCTGGTAATTTTTTTTTTAGAAAAAAAATGAGCTGAAGGGGGGTTTCAGAGAGAGGCTTCTAGGAAGAGGGGCTTGCATAAAGCAGAGCTCAAAGACTGGAGATAGATTGGCCCCAGATTGTCCTCAAAAATCCTATCCAGACATCAGGGAGTAGCTGCAACAAAAAGAGCAAAAATGAGTTACTCCAAAGGAGAAATAAAACAGTTTCTAAGTTATCAGGTAACAATAAAGTAACCCTTATATCTTAAAAAAGGGGGAGAAAGAAGAGTCCATCTGACCAACGTCTATATACAAAGCATGTGAAAAAAGCAAACAGACATTAACCATACTAAGCCTTTGCAGCAAAAAATAGAGAAGTCTTGGGGTAAATATATGTACCTGCAGCTTGAGGACACTGGAAATAAAAATGCAAACTGGTCATTTTCCATCTTCTGTACTGTTTCCTCTTATGTATTTGCTTAATGAGGAATGGGGAAAACAGGAAAAAAATGAGTAGCATAAGGTGGATGCACAGTAAGCCACGGAAAGGCTTAGCAGCATCTGTCTTCCTGCAAGATCTTGCCAATGGGATTTAAAAAAAAAAAAGGAAAAAAAAAAAAGGATGAAAGAAGGTAAGTTATAGGATTCATATATTTATTACCTTCTGACAATGCCGCAAGGTCATGCCAGCACTGCCAGGCGTTTCAGAAGAGCAGCAAAAGCAGACGTCACATCTGAGCCAAAACGTTAGGTGGCCCAAGGGCACTTCTCCTAAGGAATCAAAATTCTCGATAGAAACTTCAACAACTGCTGCATAAAACATTGCTCCAGCGGCCGTAAAAGGAGCGGGCTGCCGTGATCTACATGAGAGCTGAATTCACGCACGTACCTGTTGGGCCGTGAGCGTTCGAGCTGCTCCAGGCCTGCGCAGCCCACAAGCCCACGGAGCGCAGGCCTGGGGTAGGCACCCACACASACACAGACACGAGCAGGGTGCTCAGGGACCATGGGGGCATTCGGGTCTATGCAGCCATTCAGCATCTCTGCCCACAAGTATCCTTTTCTTTCCCCAGGGCCATGAATTTCCAAGCTAGTATGYGTTGTTGGACGAGACAGAAGTGGTTTCATATCTTATCAGCTGCAGGTGGTTGCAGTCCCCGTCTAAACAGTTGCAGCTGGATGTGGTGGGGAATTATACTGGCAAAATATATTATGTTTCGCTGTGTAAGACAGGCATCTTGTGAATCAGTGTTAGAATAAAAGCTCTCTATGATGTCTACTGGGCTCGTCTGGTGCTGTCCCTAACTTGAGCTGAGCCTTTGCTCCTGCAGTGCTCACTGGCTGCGTTGCACTGTGCCAGAGCTCACCCACTTGCCCGTGCCCTGCTGGAAGCAGGGTCTGCTTCCAAACCTGAGGAAAAAGGGCTTGTTTGGGCACGGCTAGCAAAAAGCATGCACCACTATTAAATGTGATCTATCAGATTATAGAAATAGTATGGGAAGTCCGTACACCTGAAAAACAACTAGCAAGTTGTCTGACAAGTACGAGGCTAAGCTTTGCAGGGGTTTAAGCAATAGACTGAAACAGCAACTTGCTSTAGTTGTAAATCCCACCAGCTTGCTTCTGTAGCTACAAGATTTACTTAAAGCTCATTCCTCTCAACCACAATTGCTTTAAACCAAGTTTTTGGAACCGTAAGCTAATATTTGCCATAATCAGCTTAAAAGGAATCCACTATAGCAGTAGGATGACTCAACTGGTCTAAGCATCCCTCTTTTTCTTTCACAGAGCACCTTTAATGAACACAAGTGTTGAGGTGAAATAAAGTGTCGGTGCAGTCTTGGAGCAGAGCTGGAGACACAAAGGGGCCAGGTAGGGTACCCCAATGACAAAGCAACAGGAGATGCTAAGCAGTCCACTTAAAAGCTCTTACTGGGGAAGAATTATTTCCTTTAGGAACTGCAATTCCTAGTGCAGCATCAGCTCACCCATGTTATGCCACCCACATCAGCACCAATTGGTACAGACCTCGTGTGACCCGAGTGCCAGCAGGCAACGTGGCATCTTTAGGACCCAGTTTGGATGTTGTCTGTAACCACCCCAGGCTGGCAAGGAGAAGTCACAACACATATATGTGGCTTTGCCTCCCTCGGGAGCAGTAAAGGGATAAGGCAGCATTCATTCATTTCCCCATCTTCCTTGCTCATGTGCCCTCTAAGGCTCTGCTTCATTTAGGAATTTAATAAGAGCATCCATAAAACTCACCCTGGTGGCACAAGGCCAGGCTTAAAAACCAACAGCACCTCCTCATGTGCAACCAACTTGAGCGCTAATAACAGGGAGAACACTATCCTCCCTCTTAACTTAATTAAATTAAATGGGTGCCTTTCTGTCACAGAGGGCTGCTGCACTTTGTGGATTGCAGCGCTCAGGCGAGACTGCAGCACAGCAGAGCACACAGTGATCCAGGCTGTGGGAGTGAACCCTGAGCAACTCAAGCCTGTAAGAGGAGCGGAGGGGACACATATTTACTTTCTCCAATGAATGAAACGGAGAGTTTCCCACCTCTACGATACATCATGGAAAACACATATAAACATATTTTCACCTTAGTATTTTGTTTTGTTTTGTTCTTGCCACTGAAGGCAGAGATACTGAATGGCTTGTTTTCTTCGTGCATGGGCCTGGGTGGGAAGCACCCACGAGCACTGAGGGAGCTGGTGGATGTTACTGCTGGGCTCCTTTGAGTTGTCTTTGCCGGGTCATGGTGACCAAGAGAGCTGCCCGAGGACTAGAAAGGAGCTAATGTAACTCCAGGCTTCAGAAAGGGAGAAGAAGGAGGGCCCAGGCCAGTCAGCCTCACCTCGGCCCCTGGAAAGGTCATGTACGGAGCAGCTCATCTTGGATACCATTTCCAGGCACTTTAAGGACAAGAAGGTGATCAGAGTAGTCAGCATGGATTCACCGATGGGAAATCGCGCKTCATCATACATCTTATACATCATACATCCCATAGCCTCCCATGATGGGATGACTGGCTGGGCAGAGGAGGGGAGAGCAGTGGATGTTGTCTGCTGTCTGCCGATGTCTTTCCACACGGTCTCCCATAACATCCCCATGGACAAGATGGTGGAGCATGGCCTAGAGGAGCAGTGAGGTGCGTTGATAACTGCAGGAATGGCAGAGCGCGGGGGTTTGTGATGAGCAGCACAGTCTATCTGGAGCCCTGTAGCTAGCGGTGTCCCCCAGGGATCAGTACCGGGTCCACCACCTGACCCGTTTACCCCTCAGTGCCCTGGGGCAGGGACAGAGTTGCACCCTCAGCAGCTTTGCTGGCGATTCAAACCAGGGGAGCAGCTGACACCCCATGGAGCTGGGCTGCCAACCAGAGGGTGCTGCACAGGCTGGGGAGATGGGCAGGGAGGAACCCCCTGAGGTTCAACACGGGCAAGGGCAGCGCCTGTCCCTGGGGAGCGGTAACCCCAGGCACCYGCACGGGCTGGGGTGACCTGCCGGAGGGCAGCTCTGCAGACAGGCGCTGGGAGCCCTGGTGGGCAAGCTGAGCAGGGAACAGCAGCAGGCCCCTGGCAAACACCTCCTTCGTGGCAACACGGTACCCCAGGGCACAAAAGAGAGGGGTTCGACAGTATTACACTTCATGGCAGTGAGGCAGTGCAGTGCTAGATGGATCAGGAATGACTAAATTTGAGTCTTGCTCCCGAGACRGGGCAGAAATCCTGGGACTGACAAGCTCTGGGAAGCAGGGGGTGCCCCATCAYGGTGCCTCACCAGGACAGAATGAACAGCAGCAGCCCCACTGCCGGGGGGCACTTGGGGACACTTGTGTGACGCAGGCCAGGGCGGTGGTGCCTGTAGGTAAAAGCTGAGGGGCACAGGAGGATTCGGCGAGCGCGGCAGCGAGGAGGGCAGGGGGGCAGGCGGACTCCTGCCATCGCTCGCACCGCAAATGCTACAGCTGCTCCACAGGGCAAAACCAGCCCCGGCAGGAACCAGATTCTGTTCCGTGGGACAACGCGGCAGCGGGAATGCTGGAACAGCGGGATAATGAGGAAGCAGGAATGCTGGAACAGCGGGATAACATGGCAGCAGGACCCAAGCCCCACASCCCCAGTCGCAGAAAGGAGACGCGYGGGAGGAGCGCTGAGCGCCGCCCTGTCTATAACATAACTGCGTGCTTTATTGATATACACAGTAAAGCAGTATATAATACAATAGTAAGGCATATATTTGGTGAAATTTGATATGTTGTGAAAAATGCAGTAGAACAGAAGTTTATAAAAATAATTAGTAAATGTTACAGTGTTGGTGTTAAAACACAATATATTATGATATCCAAGTAATAAACCAGTACTAACAATGAAATAACATGCCATATGGTATTTATGTATTCAGTTACACTGATTATGTTTTACAGTTTAATACTTGGTTGTTATAAGGAATATGAAATAAGTCCCAAATTATGCTTAAAAAAGCAGCGATAAAGCTTTCAACTTTTTAAATATTTTTGACAGACTCACTCCAAAACTAAGATCTAGAAAGAAAAACAAACGAAATCCTGATGAAAACAACCGTGCAACCCATTTTCCTCCAATTTTCTGAAGAGAAAGTTCAACACATAAGAGAAAAAAAAAAAAAAAAAAAAGAGAAACCCATCCCTTTCTCAGATCTCAATTTAAACCTTCTGATAAAAAGAAAAAAAGACCATGAGAAATGCACAGGGTTCCTACTGTCATAAGGTGTTAAAAAAGCTCCTTACTGTGAAAGCAGATGCTTGGGGGGATTGTACTGACTTTCTGTGAATTATTATCCTTATTATTTAAATGATGAGACCTGTTCACACAATGGACGAGTGGTGAAGATGTTACATTATCTGTATGTAATTGTCAGGAACACCACAAAACCAAAGTGAGGTAGAAATAGCATGACTAGCCATGTTCAATGTTAACTAGCATTCAAAATAAAATCTTTCCCAGGTTTAATTACACTTCATACAAGAAGAGGTAACAGATTTTTACTCTTGCAATATAAAGTTAGATGGTGTGTCTCTATGTGTTCTAGGATAAAATGAAAAGCTGGTAAAGGAAATGAAGTGGTAAAGCTTTTGCTGACAGCACCTCTTACCTAAGCCTACCTCTTACGAGCTGCARTTGAACTGGCTAATAACCTGTTTTTCTATCCGCTTCTCCCTCCCTTGCTTCCCTGTTAACTGTGCGGCATCTCGGGCAGAGAGAGGCGGCRACGGACACGGTGCCAGTGCGCCTGTCACGACGCTGAACGTCTGCAACGGGCAGCGCTCGTGTCGCGATATTGAACATCTGCCCTGGGCAGCACTTGCTGCGTGCCGGCAGGGGCAGCCGGGAATCTCCCATGGGAACATCCCGCGGCTCCAGCAGGCCGGGACAGGCAGCGTGGAAACCTGCAGCGCCCACGAGGGCAGGGCAGGGCYGCGCTCCGTGCCCGTGAGTGGGCACCGGGCTGCAAGGGCTCTATCCGTAAGGCAACTTCTACTGCTCTTTACTAATAACATTCAGGAACTTTGTCAGCTGACTGTGCACAGAATAGTCACTAAATTCTTCCCTTTCCCTTCCTTTCCTTTTTTTTTTTTTTTTTTGATTATTATTACTATTTTTTGCAGGCTGTCATGTAATGTGCTCTTTTGCTTAATTATTGCAGACTAGCTCTGTGATCGATGTAATTCTCAATTTTATTGGAAAGAGGTGAAATAACTACCTTCCTTGGAAGTCCAGGAGAATTGTTTTTTTTAAGCCAGCCCTAGCCAGACAAAAACGACAAGAAATGATGCAAGTCGGCCCTTTCGGTGTTGCCAAAAGGAAATACTTGGTATTTTTTTTGATTAGCAAGGAAAAGAACACAGAACATGAATCTCTCTCTGCTGCAGTTACAGAGCTGAAATGATGCTAAACAAATGCACTGCCTCAGCATTTTTTTTGTGTTTTTTTTTTAACGGGGTTTCTATAAACAATTATTTTTTTATAAAGCACACTTTAGTTTACAATCTTTCTTTATAACTGTTATAAATTTTTTTAAACAACCCGAAATGCGTTCCATATAAAGAAATGGCAAGTTATTAGCTATCAAGATTTTACATGTAGTTTTCTTATAATTTTTGTACAATTGCATAGACGTGTAAAACCTGCCATTGTTAACAAAACAGTAACAGACTTAGGAAACTACTGAAATCTACAGTATAGTACCACTRCCCTTCACAAAAATATAGATTTGTTTTCTTGTAAACTCTTACAGTCTAATCCTCTTTGTAGTATGAATGTTATAAAAACCATGCGGGACGCCTGAAGTTGTAAAACACATCTTGCTATTCTAACACCTTGTCGTCAGTCATCACCGTAACTAAGGTTTCCATTGCTCTTCCCAAGTCGTCCGCCATGTGGAAAAGGCTCCCTACATTGTTGCCTGGAAAACAAAGCCAAAGAAGAAGACATGAAATGAGAAGGACGAGGCAGCCGGCTGTTAGGAACATCCTACGGGAAAAGCCAGGTACATACACATAACTTTCCATGTGTCCCCCTGTCCCTACTTGGGGAGAGCACTGTTTCCAGAAGTCTCCCGCACGAGTATGATACGTCACCGCTAGCAAAAGTTGCCAGTTTTGGAGAAAACGAATCACAATCCGAGCTTGAATGGCTARTGAAAACTACAGTGAAATGCAGCCATAATTGTAAGCAATTATTTTAAGAAAGAATAGTTTATAGTCTTTCTTTGTAACTTTTGCAATTTTTTTAAAGAACTACAAATGTGTTCCATATAAATAAATGGCAAATTATTTAGCTATCAAGATCAGAAAATATATAAGGTTTTTTGAATAGTTTTGGCATAGATCTGTAAAACCTGCTATTTTAACAACGCTGTAACAGGAAACTAAAGAAATGTTCAAAAAAGTAGTAATGATGAAGCTGCGTTATTATTAATGTTCACCAAAAATAACTCTTAAATCCACTGACATCGCAGAAAGGTGCAACAAGTGTTTGGTGCTACAAATGTTTGAGCATTCTCTCAAGGCAAAAAGAAAAAAGAAACAGAGCAGCAGCTAAGCAACTAAATCATTAAAAAGCGAAGAACTGAGAGCATATAAATCTGCGGTGGYATCTAAAATGGCTACCAAACTAAATGGTCACATAATTGAGTACATTCTCTGTTTTTAATAGAACTTATTGCTTTTTATTTTTAGCTAAAATTTATTTTATTGTATTGCTCATTGCAGAGGAGCAAAACAAAGGTCCGAAATTGTCAGGTAACTTCCCTTCCGTGGTTTAYTTGTGCACTTATTTGTGCCTTTCTCCTCCCCAGTAACGCCCGGGAAGTCCGGAGACAAGATGACTGTAACACGTGGCCTCCTGATGAGTGTTTTTGTCTCCAGAGTGGGATTCTGGAGGCAGAAGGGGCGCGTTCCCCTCAYGCTGACGCCGGTGGCAGCGCTCCGGGCGGAGTGGGAGCGCTGCTGCAGGCGGCTCCGGGTGCCCCCGCGGGCCCTCAGCATCCCGGCCTCCCGCAGGTGCCCTGGGCGGTCGGCGCCTCCGGCACCCATGTCGGGTGTCTCAGATGAYGCAGGCCCTTGGTTTCAACCACTGAATCCCAGATGGATTCAGCCCTCTGGAAATGTATTACTGAAGAGGTAAAKGTAGCCACACCTAGAAAAACCACAAAACATGGGCGTCCCAGCCAGGGTCTGGGCATTCAGGATTTCTTTCAAGAACAAGGAGCAAACGATCAGACAGAAGTTTTAAACCGAGCAGAAGGCAATTATAGTCCACCCAGCACATAATTACATTACGGGACTCGTCGCCACAGGCTGATGTTGCAGCCAAACATACAAATGAGCTAAAAGGAAAAAAGGAATTAGAAAGCAGCCACAGAAGAAACGTCTCAAGAGAGTCGTTCAGATGAAAGACGTGCACGTGACCTCCAAGTCGGGACGTCCTGGAGCTGCCGGGGTCCCGAAGCGTGACCTGGAGCGTGCCACACGYGCAGCACTAACTCCACAAGACTCTCAGCTGCTGCGGCCAGAGGGTGGTGGCTGCTCTGTGGGAGTTACTGCGATGACAGAGGGTTTGTTTGGAGTACTGGAGGTGTAGGGAGGTCTGTCCCCAACTGCGCTTCACAGGGGCACTTTGCAGCKGCTGCATCCTGAGTCGTTGCCATGGTCCGAGGGGAAGGAGCACCCAAAGGAAGGTGAGATGTGACCAGGGCATCCAGCTCTCATGCACTACTTACCTGAGAAGGGCATGTGCCCCACTGCTAACACTGCCCTATCTACAGGGTCCTTCTTCCTGACACGCGGCCTTTCTGAACGGGACTGAACCTTTTCTGTGGGGTAAACCAAACTCCTAAAAATAAGGTGAAAGCAAAGACCATCCTCTTCCAAACATCAAGTATCATGGGAGCCATGCACTGCTGACATGGCCACAGTACTGGGAAGCCTGGAGCAATGTTAGTTAATATTCACCACCATGAGTGGTATAGAAAAAAAAATGACCTCAGAAAATATCCATAGCCATTTATCTCAGGGAAATTATTACTACRTTTTACATTCAAATGCTGATTTTTGGAGGGATTTTTTTTTTTTGAGTATAGTATATTCCTAAAATCTTCAAAAATGTTTCATAGCTTAATATTAACTACCTGGCAATCTGGCCATTTTCTCACACACTGTGCTATATGTAGCACAGTTTGCCACATATCAGTACAAAAAAATATTTGATTCTAGCATGCTGACTTATTGGTACTAACACTGATATATAGACAAAGAAACCATCAAACTGTAATTTCATATATAAATCATTAATGGACAGCCATCCTATTCATCTTAAACAAGAACTTATCATCAGATATAGTAACTGAACATGAAGAATTCCTGCCAAGTTTTGGTTAAAATATAGCTTAATTTAAAGTAAGCATAGGCTACCACATTTATTTTAGATGCAAGGCATAATACCTCTTGGGTACATTATGCAGACTGTAATTGAATGCTGGGATAACCTTTCACATGCAATTCTAGTAATGTCTCTTAATCCGAGTCTGCTATAGCGCAGTCCCTCTGGCTGAGATGAGTCCAGCAAACTGCACCAGGAAAAGCAAAAGTTGACAAAGATGTAGGAAAAAAAAGCTACAGATTTTTGATGGGAAAGAGGTAAACAGGAACCCAAGTGCCATGGATTTGGAATATGGATGTGAAACTCCGACATGCTGAGGTGTATCCACAGCACACGGCATCAAGGCTGCATTGGAATAACCCCAGCTTCACCTGCAGTATCTGCAGCCTCCTCGTGAACATCCCGAGGCCGYCAGCTCCTTCCAGGCAGCCTCCAGSRGAGCCGCTGCTGCCTCCGCGTCGCGGCGGGGGCTGCGGAGGCGGCGGCGAGCRGGAGCACCGGCCCTGCCAGCCGGGATGCCGCCGCATCCCCGCACCGCCGAGCAGCCGCGCGGCACCCAGGCCTCCCAGAGACCCCAACGCTCCTCGCTTCCAGCTCAGGAAGAAGGATCGCCAAGCCATACATGTGCACTAACCTAGACCACACAACCCTCTCTTCAGGAAGATGTAGTACTCTCAATACTATTTTTTTTTCTATCAGCCACAGGGCTGTAAAGGTTGTTACAAATACATGCTAATTTTCCAAAACAGTCTAGAAAAAGAACAGCTGTAAACCCAACTCACAAAATTATATATATTAGAAGTCTTTCAGAACTACTAAATTGCCCAGTTAACTTAAGCATGGGCCAAGAAAACCACATGAATCCGGAGATCCCTACGCATGAAAACCACAGAACCGTGGTTTTCCTTCTTTTGTTTCCTGTCTTCTCCAAGTGCTGCTGAGGCTTTTGCAATAGCGTTGCGCGGGACGGGCCCGCGGAGGGGCTGCAGAGCGCCCCGCTGCGGCTGCCCTGCAGGAAGGCTGCGCAGCAACGTGCCCCTCCGTGGGGCACAACCCGCTGCCCGTTCGCCTCGTGCCGGCCCCGGCGCTGGGAGCCCGGGCCCTGGGAGCCCTCCGTCCCCGCCGCAGGGCAGCGGGAGGCGCCGCCGGCCCCGCAGCCGCTCGGGCCTCGCTCTGCGCCTGTCGCTCGCTCTGATTTTCCTACGGCCGCGAGGTGAAGCTGGGCGGCCCTCTACTCATTTTATGCCATCCTCCAGGTTGGAGGTTTGCTCTTTTTGCCACCTCCCACTGCTCTCGCTTCCTGAGGAAAGGGCTTCCTGAGGAAAGGACCGGAGTGACCCGAGCACTCTTGAGGTCCTCGTAGCGCCCGGCCTGCTCCCAGCTGATCYCAGCAGCCGAGCTGGGAATTTCCTAGGATCCCTTTCCTGACACCTGCCCAGGCGCTTCCCCTGCATGTCCTTCATCTCCAAGCTCCTTTTCAATAATGGCCACGGTCCCTTCCTGCGACCAACCCTYCTTTTTAATCATGTGAGGGGAAAATACCAGCAGTCGAGCGAGTGGGTCAGGATTTTGCCTCTCCTGCACATGGCAGCAAAAATGAGGACAACTCAGACTATAAATGCCTGGGAACAACATGCACAGGGAATTCCTGCCACTGGGTGTGTAGTGATTGCAGCCCTTTCCTTACCCAAACTGTAGCTAGGTGGGAGCTCCAACACCCTGCCTGCCTCTGTGCAGCTGGGCCTTTCCTGTTGGGTACCTGCGATGTAGCCTCCGTGAGACTCAAACAGAAGGCACTGCCATTTTTTAATTAAGTAGCGTGAGAGGAAAATACTGTACTGTCCCCAAAGCACTTCTAAAATATGGACTAGCTTTCCACTTAATACTATTAATATTTTTAATATAACTCAGCCGAAGATTAATTCTTTTTTTTTTAACATTAAAGCTGAAGTTTTCTCCATGCTTGAGGCACTGAAGGGTTGAGAGCTGATACTGCTTAAGAAAAAAAAACAGTACACTTTGAAATGCAGCAATAAAGCTCAAAATGGATATCAGCAGTTTTAACTAGGTCTTTTAAAATGGAAGAAATTAATACAGGTGTATTTGCTTTGAAAGCAGGGAATATCTATTTCTGCATTCACTATCTGCATCATTTCTGGTCACATGCAGAAGGACATGTTTCATATCTGCTGAATGTGCTTTAGAAACTGTGCTGGAATTAAGGCCCCTGGGTGAGGACACAGTAATTGAATATCAATCTCACACTACAACTTGTCACAGAAATAAATGTGGAGAATTTGGACTCTAAAGAGTGGACAGCAAGTAAATTCAGCAAGCATAATAACACCAAGCAGTCTCTTCTTCAGCAGCCCRGATTTCTATTCCTTCCCACACAAAGGAAAAATCTTTCCTCTTGGTGGCTCACATTGTGATACCCTTACTCATATCGAGCAGTACCATGAAATCCATGGGATTACTCATGAAGACAATACCTAATGTGAGCAATGGGATCAAAGCCTGGTC